GTTACATTTAAATATGTAATTAATTATTGTAATTATATCACTTAAATGCCGACTATAAGGAAGAATATTAATATATTAGTCTTGAACACAATTCGCCATAGACTCGTAATTCAGTAAAAAAGCAATGAATAATATAAAATCTTCATTTATGAAGGAATTTTTTACTTTTATTAGTCGTTATATATACATATATGTATATAAGTGAGTTTAAAAACTGAAATAAGTTAACAAAACCTCATAACGAGATAGTTATTTAAATATTAATACTAAATGTATTTTTTTTAATTTATTTATATTTATCATTAAATAAATCTCAAATAGATTTTGTTTAGATTTGACGAAAATACAAATGAGATAAATTTTACTACCATGTCGGTATTTTTAAAGACAAGTACATTATTATCGGTATTTTTAAAGTACGTACATTTATGGTTACAGATTTATTTGGGCGAATTTCGTTGTACATCCATAAAGCTTCTGTGTTGCTTCTGTCAACCTTAGGGAATAGACAATTCGTGTTCCAATTAAAGGTACACTTTGCTAGCCTCTACTTCATGAACAGTCCCAATATTTGAGATTATCCTACGAACATTTCGGTAGTGATTTGCCAAAATACAAAGTGAATTTTATCCCAAGTATATTCTAAGACAGTATAGATTAAGCTTAATTATGTTTTTATTATTGTACTAATAAAAAAATGTAATTCTTGTGATGGATTTAATAATATGTATATTATAATTAAAAATAGGCCTTTGCTCAGCAGTAAGCTCTGATAGGCTGATAAAGATAGTTAAAAATAAAATATTTATTTAATAAGTTTATTGTTATGATATCAGCAATTTGTAAATTCTGTTCTAATACAGATGATTTTAATAAATTTAAAATGATCAGTTATGATTTTTACTGCATAGTCAACCATCATAAGTAAATATAATCTCTAACAATAATAAACATTTAAAATATTTTAAAATATTGTGAGGTTTCATTTTTATTAAGGCAAAAAAAGATACGTCGACATTTTCATATTACCTTCATTTCTGACTCCCAATTTGATCATATCTACGATTACAGAACCAATTTAAATGGTTTCCAATAGCCTTCACTAAACTCTGAATACTTAGTCTTCTATGTTAATTTTATTAAATCCTTGTAGTGCTTTATATTTTAAATGAAGTACATACTTTTGGTTGAATCTCATGACAGGCAGATAGGTTCTTCAAGCAATTTATCGCTTCAAACTCCTTCATCGGTCTGAATGACTCGTTTTACGTAATATTTTCTGTCTCTGGAATAATTTGCCAGAGTGTTTATGTAATACTTCGTCATGATATGCATTCAAATATTAAATAAAGTAGCATACCTTAAAAAAGATCAATCTTTATTTTTTAACTTCTTCTCTTAATTTTATTCTTTTTGCCTAGTACATATTACAACTATTCTCATATCGTGTTTTACATGTCTATTTTTTGCGGTTTTACACAAACTCATATTTTGTTTCCTTTAACTTTCGTGAGATTATCTGTTAGATAATATAGTTAATCATTTAGCTTGAATTTTCTGTAACATTTGTATTTGTGTAAAGAAAGAAAAATAAATACATAAGTTATAAAAATTTAATCAGCGATCAGTTATACAACGCCAAATTTTATAGATTATGATTCCGTCAGATCTATGTGATCTACTTGAAATAAAAATTTCCTTATATAACTCTGAAATTTTGTAGAAAATTTTGACAAATTCTTAGCCTAAATGCCTTATTACAAATTCACAGGAAGATGCCGCGGGAAGTAGCATATATCGTCATATTATTCCTGGTAACTCCAAATATTATCTGTTTCGAGCCGCGCCCAGAAATAGGTTACCCGGCAGGACTTATCCCGGAATGTGAGTATTGCATAATTAAGTACAAATATTTTTTATTATAAGAGTATGTGTGTTGATATTCTCATTGCTTTTAACTACTATATATAATTTGTATTAAATGCCAATGATTAGAGAGTTTAGAAGTAATGAAGAATATATGTATATATGTATGTATATACATATATATTCTTCTCGTGATCTGCAAGCAAAGTTAACATGTTATTTATATCAATTTATTTTGGTGGGAATTTGCATTTAAAACCTAAAAATAGATGGGTCGAAGTTTTCGAATAAATTTCAATATAAAATTATCATACAATCGCTGTTTTTTTGGACAATTCATTAAAAAGCTTAGAAATTTAATCACGATTTATATATTATGTTTCTTGATTTTTTTTTTGAGGATTATTTAATAAAATCTTATGCATAATCCTAACTAAAAATATGGAAATAAGAAATAAGATGGTATTAATTTAAAATTCCGAGACGGTAGGTTTAATGAGGTAAATGACTTATAATAACTGTATTTTTTTACTATTTTTCTCTGCGAAAACAAGTAACGTTATTCGAGAATACTAGAATTACGAACAATTAATCACAAATTGTTAAAATAAAAGTTCAAAGGTAAATTCTTCCTTCTTTATGAAGTACTTTCAGTTAGTTTTAAATTAATTGGTATCCCTTTTTTACGGATAAAAGCGAAAAAGCTTTCCATTTTCTTAATTAATTCTTCACTTAAAATTGTTACGTTTTTAACACAATATGAATTGCTTTGCAAGTATTCCTATTTCTTGTACGCTCGGACTTTTAGTAAATGGTAAAAGAAAAATATGTTTTTATTTGTATTCTTTACTAATAATTAATCAAGAAATATTATATACAAACAACTTTGAAGGAGGTCAGATCAATTAGTAACGATACATTTACTAAATAAAACGACACTATTTCATCCCTAAAAACTAATATTTTCCCAAAAACAATTGACAATCTGATAAATTGAATTACGCTAGTTAATAAAATCAGGTAAAGTTATTTTATTGGAATAATAATATAGAAATAAATGTTTTTAATTTATTACTATGATTAAAACATTTTTTCTTCCAGGAAGAAATCAAAAATTCAATCCAATTACTACAAGTTTTGCGATGGTCGGAAATTTAATTCGTTAAAATAAATTCATCATGTATCTTGAGTTCACTGCAAGGTCATTGACATTTCATTGAAATGTTTTCGTCTTAGAATGATTAAATTATGAGAATTTTAATATTATTCTATACAAATCTTTGTAATAATTTAATATTTATATATGAAGTGCCTTGTACAATTCATGTCTCTGACTTTATAAGGTTATCTTTGGAGATGTTATACTCAAATGTAATTCTTGTTTCTCCAGGGAAATCAAAAATATAAGTTTAACAGATTTCAATGCAGATAAGTTTCTAGTTGATTTAATAAAGGAGAGTTGTGACAGATTTTATGTAAATAATAATTTTATTTTTGTAAATTTGTATATACTGATGTTATCTTCCACGGCTCTGATAGGCTGATGATGATGATGATATAATGAAGTTTTTACTTATTTGTCATAAAACATGTAGCTGACTCTTTCAGTTTAATAATGTTAGTTTTTGCATGAAGCTTTGGGAATTTCGAAGTAAAACTACATAAAAGTAATTAATTTATTACTTGAAAAGTAGTTTAAGAAACATGTCTACTTTAAGTATTTAGTTTTTTCTGCTAATTTTTATTCACCTGTTATCTTTTTCATTTCGGCATTATTGATTTCATTGAATCTACGATATTTGACAGTGGGCAAAATAGTATAAGCCGGATATGTTTTTTAATATTTACTTTTAAGTGTATAGAAAAAGTTACTTTAAATATAAAATAAAAATAAATTAAACTTACTTTAACAAGACGAAATATGAAGACGGATAGTTACTTTTTAACTATCTAACTTATAGTATTTTTCAGTAAAAGTGATAAAATCCGGTTAATACATATACCAGGCCCGAATACATTCTGACTGAAGATGGTAGTTAAATTACCCTCAGAGCATATAGTCATTGCTAGAAGTTTGCTATGCTCGTTTCTTATACTGCTAGTCTCTAGAGAGAAAATACAATTGTTACACGTTCAGTTGATGAAAATATGGACCAAGGAAGAGGATGTGCATTTATCATCAAGTTGACAATTAGTTAATCTGTTCGTTAAATTATAAAATTATTTCATATATTATTAGTCACAAGAAAAACAGGTTCTTGTAAAAAAAATGTTTTTAACTAAAAATATGATGTTGAATATACCGTTACATTTGGTATAAATCCAATAAAGATATATTATTTCTTGAAATAATTTAAAATTGATGACAGGATAGCTGTTGAGGTCATTGACCTTGACTATATTAATAAAATTGTGTGTTGTTGCCAATTGTAAATATTGTATATAATGCTTTTAAATTGCTATTATAATAGTTTGATACAAAAAATAAATGAATCTCCTAGAATTGAATTGAATGTTAATATATAATAAAAACGATATAATTGTACAGTCAATAAATTGTATGATGTATGCAATCAGTTTTTAATGTACACAAAGTTTTTATCTGTCCTAGCGTAGTGATTTTAAGGCGACATGAGGTTGATTGACCGTGATAATAAGGCAACATAAAAAAGGAGGGTCATATATTATGTTTAAGATTTAATCAACATAATATATTGTTATTATTTACAAGGTATGACACAATCTAGTTGAAATGTTAAAAGAAAAATTTCTTTCTCGATTGTAACTCGAGTTTTGTATTGTTTTACTTTCTAGCTAACGTTTCTATTACTTGTCAGACAGGGTATGGTAAGCGTATTAGGGTAATTGTGGAATGAATACGTAACATTTTTTTTCATACTATTTGAAAATTATATTGTCTATATTAAAATGGAATTTGTTAAAGAACGAAAAAAATCATAATACGAGTGAGAATTATTATGATTCTTATTATTATGATTCTTTCCTCAACTAGATATTGTGTCGTATTTAAAAGAATTCTTCAGAAATTTTTTCGGTTATAGTTTATGTGTATTTAACTACGTATTAATCTTGCGGTCGATAAATTTAGTCTTAAAATTTATATAGAATTAATTCTGGAGGAGGAACTATTGACACTTTTCATTTTCCTAGGTCCTGGAGTATTGAAAAATGCGACTATCAGTCCAATAATGATGCCGATGTTGAAGATTACAGTTCACAGAATGTCTGAGGCTGGAGAGGTCACGAGGAAAGTATTCCCTATCCTGACCGCCCATAAAACAATACCAAAGGAGAAACATATTGGTAGGTTTAGCATGTATATCACTAACGACTAACGAGACGTGTCGATGGCCCATGTCTAAGTTAATAAGTTAAGTTTATATTAGAAGATATTAGGAATAGTTAAATATTATAAATGTAATATTATAATATCTAGACCTTTAAGAGGATATATTAGAGGATATATATATATATAAAAAGTTTTTAAAGTATCATATAGTATTAGAGCTATGGTCGTCCTTTAGATATTGAATTTGATATCTAAAATTATTAAATTACGTCTCTGGTGACCAGTTTTATGAGAATGTACTCAATGTAATTTTTTGTGACAGTTTTTGTCCACAGCAATAAGTTTATAAACTATCTTCAATCCTAGAACTATCTTTAAAAGATAGACTTATTCCTCAACAAAACTGCTTCTTTTGTAATTTCAGACTTTAGAAATAAGAAAACTGTTTTATATGCTGTCGGATTCTTGGACAGCTCAGTATATCCTCAGAGCCAAGCGGTTGGAACAGCTTACTCTAAACGTGGCTATAACGTTCTGATTACAGAGACGATTGCATTTCTGACGTATATCTACCCAAAGTAAGTTTTCATTGAGATTCAATATTTTTCTAAGTATTCTTATTGAAATAAGTGACCTTACATATTAACAATGATTTAAATTTAATTAAAAAACATGACCACCTAATATTCTGACTGATCAATTGACATGATATTGTAATCTCGTCAGCTAATCACTGTTGTTTCAAAGTAACCGAAACATCAGGAGTAATTAATTTTTAAACAATAGAAAACGCGTAATAAATCGGAAAATATTAGTTTAATTAAATGAATACTCGAAAAAGTCAAATGATTGAAATTGCGTTTTTTACCTCTTATTCCTGCGTATATACATAATATACGGGTGATAAAATTCAATTAGTTTTTTATATTTTTCTCTATACACATAATTTCATTACATCATTATTATTTTAGTATTATTTGTAATGTATCATATGACAATTCATCTAAATGGTTAATATTATTATTGTAACTTCGTGATTAAGGTATCAAATTGTTGCCTGAATACCTACTTTAATAGAGTATTACCACGGTGTTATAATTAATTCATTAATAATTAGTAATTCAAATTCGACTACTTACTTCGATATAGTAAACAATCGTCGCATTTTTGTCTTGGAGACAATTGAATACATCAAGCATTTACGGAGCAAGTTTTCTTTTAAACAATTATTATTAAAGATATTGGAATACAGGCATTTAATAGTGTATTTTATTAAACAAGAAATGACTATACATATATGTTATATGTCATTATGATTCCGTCATCATAATGTAGACCTGTATATTAAGCATTACAAAAACTTGCACTCGAAACAAAAAAACTTGTTAGTTCGGTCATAAAAAGGACTTGATTTTATACCAAGGATTTTTTGCTTTCGTTTTTTAATCGGAATATTTTGTAAAGAAACATCGTCAAAAGAATATTATAAAACTTAAAATCATTGAATGACATAAAAATATTAAAAAAGGTGGCATTAAGCCAATTTAATAATTTTAAGGTCTAAATGAGACTAATTTTTTCGGATTGCTATGCGTTATTGTATTATTTTTAAAACTACATACATACTCCCGACGTTTCGGTTACTCTGCAGCAACCGTGATCACGGGCAGACAAGATGCCCTTTTGTAATGCGAAAATATTAGTTTCATTTAAATGAATTCTCGCTAAAGTCTTAAATCTCATAAAGTTTTAAGGTCTACAAGCGTTGCTAGGTTGTCGCTGACTGTTGGAACATGACATTGTTTTGATATGTCTGGGATAGTTAACCAGTTTTATAGTAACCAAAGATAACTTAAAGTTAAAATCATATTATGCAATAACAAATAAACTTGATATACCTTGATAGTATAGAAGTAGTAAATAGAAGTATAGTAGTTTCGTTTTATTTACCATAATATGTTGAAAACTAATTTGTGATACACAATTTTATAAAGTTTATTTTGTTAAATATTTTTTTCAAATTAAGGTTATAATACATTACCTTAAAATGTTGTAATTCTCTATTATTAACAAATATCACTGTTAAAGCCTTATGTAACTTCATTGAGTTTAAATGTATTGCCTATTCAAAATTTTATTATTCCATTCAAATGAGTATATTCATTTATTTTATAGTAAACAATCGTTGACAAGGAGTATTGAATTATGTATTTATTTTTAAACATTAAAGATATTATTGCAGAATTTATTCCTCGTGGAGTTAAATTGCTTCATAAAATTGCTTGACTTTTATTCTCACTAATAGTGAATTATTATTTTATTTCAAAAGGAAGCAGTCCATATTTTTTATAAGAAAGGTCTTATAGTTATTTCTTTCTAAATCAAAAATTAAAATCTATTTAGAATGGACGAAGACGAATAAAAAAATCACTAATGTATTCAACATACCATAAAAATTCCAGCAAACTTAGGTTTGATGTAATCGGAAATGGAATTTAGTGCAGAATATTATTATTAACTTATTTTTTTTGTGGCTTTGGCATTTTTTTAAGGTAGCAACGATAAGATTATCCAATGGATATCAAATTATTTTACAAGTGAAATTCTTTATGGTGTAAGCTCCTTGCTTTGTTGCTCTAGATACTATTAGGAATTAGGATAAGTTTAGGATTCATGAAATTAGGACAAATACATAGAATGGTAGACGAGATGTGCATGTCTGTCAGTTGGTCTTGTTATTTTCTGATCACGGTTGCTGCAAAGTAACCGAAACGTCGGATGTATGTTGTTTTTAAAATGTATATAAAATACGCGGAATAATCAGAAATATATTAGTTTCATTTATATTTATTTATTTCCTACTTGAAACATCATGTTCATATCATATCATTATATCAAACTCAAACTCCAGTTTACGATCGACTGTAATTCTAGGATTACCCATGAACTTGTTTTAAGCTCTTAGACGTACAAAGTTCAGACATTATACTAAAAAGAAATTTAAATAAAACCATCTAGCATCGAATCTTAATTAATTTAATTAGGATTATTAATTTTACATTCTTATTTTATGAAGTATAACTGACGAGTGAAATGAGAAAGTAGATATTGACTGTGGTAAATAATCTTTTCTCTGTTTGTACGTGACCTTTTATAGTGAAACCTAAAAAAAATTGTTATGAAAACAGAAAATTACATATTAATATTTGAATGAAACTATCAATCGCATATCTATATAAAATAACACAAAATTATCTGTTCCAGATCAGTTCGATTGACGCGTACCGTTGGCAAGAAGGTTGGTGAATTTTTAGTAAAATTAACTGAATACGGTTTAACGGCTGACAATCTAGAACTCGTCGGCGCTAGTCTCGGAGCACACGTGGTTGCCCATGCTGCTAAATATTTTTACGCTGCAACCGGTAAAAAACCAGCAAGACTAACTGGTTTAGATCCGGCTGGGCCATGCTATAGAGCGTTACCACCACCAGAACGACTTGATAGATCCGATGCCCAACGAGTTGATGTGATCCATTCCAACATAGACGGCTTCGGTATCGCAGAACCTCTTGGTCATATAGATTTCTATGCCAATGGTGGGGAATTTCAACCGAGTGACATACCCTATATTCCATGCCTTGTCATCTGTAGCCATGTCCGCGCTATCATATATTGGTGGCAAGCTATTGAACATCCTAAGAAATTTATTGGAGTAAAATGTGATAACGTTCAAGAAGCTAGACTAGCAAGATGCTACAATAATACGCAGATCAATTATCTTGGTCTCTCAGCAGATTTTTCAAGAACTGGAATATATTATTTGCCAACCAACAATGAATTTCCGTACTTCAGAGGAAAAGAAGGGCTGAAGGCTGAAAACGAAATCTACAAATCTACTATAAGAAAGATTAATTCTGATGATATGTTTGTTGTGTGAGAACACATGCCTTTAGTTTATGGTGATACATATAGGATTCCTTTTAGGGGAAAATATAGAATAACCAGTAGTAGTTTTTATTGCTCTGATGTAGAGTAAAGTGCAATGTAATTTTATTTATACTTTAAGATCCAATTATTATATCGAACTCGCAAAAACTCATTGCAATATAATTAGTTTGTACATGCCAGTCTTAAAATTAAATAACTAATATTTGACAACGAAAAAAACGTTTAAATTTTTTTGCTTAACTGACACATCATGAAGAACAAAATGAAAACAAATGAAGGATTATAGAAAATTTAAACTGTGATTATTAATTGATTATGTTACTAGCAGAATTAGTGTTCTCTATTTGGTATTAAACATTATAATTGTAGTGAGATAAAGGGTGGGTAGGAAATACTATTTGTAATTATATATTTAAGAAGGAAAAATTAGATAATGATCTTATTATTCTAGTCCAGTTTTCAAAGAAAACGTGTATTTTTAATAAAAATTTAATAAAATTAATTCTTTTTTGTTTTATTTAATTTTATAAAACTCTAGTTACGTATAACAAGCTTAAAACATTTATTTCTTTTCATTTTTATAATGTAAAGAAATCTAATTTATAAAACAAAGAGCCAGTGTCGAGTTTGAGAAGAACAAAAGTGCTGTCACTGAAGGTGATTTGGCTTCGTGACAAGACGCTATTTTTTGACTAGACGAGCCAAGAGCTTTGACTGCAGAGTAACGAGGAAAGAGCTTGTTTTTATAATTAATCCAACTAATGTTTTAAATGCTACAGTTTGTAGGGACGTACGATTTTAATATATCTAAAGTTATTGTTTCAAAGAAATATAACATTTATATTGTCTACAAAATTAAATACTGTATATTATATAATGGAATCTTTTAACAATATTTGTGGATAAAATATTTGTAGTTATTACATAGAAAATGGTAACGTCAAAGAAATAAATTAAAAAAACTAATTTATGCTTGTGGATGTCTTTTCGTTACTAGTAATGAATATAAAAATATTGAATTACATATATTTAAAATTATGTCTTTTATACTTACACTAGTAAACCCGGCGAACTCCGATTCGCTACCAGAAGGCTTTTATATAACATTTCGTTTGGTGATTAAAGATGAAGAATTTTTTTTTGATTTATATCTGAAAAGGAAAATTTTTATTTCATTTCACAACAGTCATGAATTCATTTTGATTACAAAAATGAAGTGTTATTTAGTTGAACTTCTCTAAGTAAATGAAAGTGAATCCAAAGTAGATACCGAATCGAAGCGTTATACGTGTCCGCAAATTATCCGTTTCTTTGAAGTGGTCCTTTGTAAACCATATTTTTTGTTTTTTGGTCTAACTTTAACACAAAAAAAGCGGATGGTTTCCAAACTTGTGAACACGCAAAATATAACGAGCATGTGAAAAACAATGATTTTCTAAATTTATCCCGCAAATACTAAATGGTTTTAAGAGTTCAAACTACAAACACAATACCGGTTTCTCACATGAAATTAACTGAGCAGTTGGTTCGTTCGTTCTGAAGTTATAGCGACAGGATGGAAAACCGGTCTTATTATTTTATAGTAGATCTCTAACAAATATCTAATTGTCATCATTACGTCATTACATATCAGTCATTATACGTCAATTGCATAGCTGTCAATTGTGTTTCGTTATTCCGCGTTTTATAGTGACTGACGTATCATGTCAAGTCCCACGGGAATGCTGTCGAACGGGATAAAAAGTATCCTTTTGCGATTTCCTGACTCTAAACTACCTCCCTGCCAGTTTTCAGCTAAATCGGTTCAGCCGTTCTTGAGTTATAAGTGGAGTAACTAACACGACTTTCTTTTATATATATATAGATATATTAAAACGAACCTTAAGAAGTGAAATAAACTTAAATATAAAATGAATTAAATAACATAGATAATAATATACTGTCTACAAAATGTTGTAAGTAGTCTGAGTAGTAGTAGTACTGAGAAGTATTCATATGCAGGATTCACAATATTAGTGCTGAATTGTAATCATTTAGAGGTTACACAAATTATGATTCATTTTTCTCCCATTAGACGGATCAGTTTCAACTTAGGACCTAAAATTAATATAGCTTAAATAATATTAAAAATATTGTGAAAACATCGATTATTTGCTTTGTAAATTAATGTGGTTATAGCTTTTATATCAAAACCAAAAGTAATAATATAAAAAGACAGCCAGAGAGAGTTTCGAGTAACATATTTTTTTAAATATTCGGACTAATAAATGCATCAGCGCTAAAACAATAGTATTTCTATTATATATATTCAGTGAAGGTGCTTTAATTAAAGATGGCTTTTAGTTATTGGTTAGTTAGAAATTTCACAGGATTTGACTAGACAGTGGATAGAACACATGTTGAAAGTAATACAGTTGAACCAAAGGTAAACTTCAGTAAAGTCGATGATTGAAGAGTTTAAAATATCAGATCATGTGTTGAAGATTTTCTATTTATAAACTTTAATATTTGGATTTTTTATGATTAATTGATGCATGTTGGATTGTAAAAACTTGATAAAAATGCTTCCTTCGCTTCGAAGCCCGTTTTGATAAAGCCCGTGAGAATGGATAAATGAATTTTTAAACTAAACACTTAAAAATGTTAATTAATGTTGGGCGAAGTCTTATTATGAGGTGGTTATTTAGGGAATTCTTTCTTGCGTATACAAAGAGACTGCTCCGGTAATCTTTTCCAAAACAATCATATTAAAGTTTTGCAAATATCAATACCAGTTACCATTTTACAAATGAATATAATTTGAAAGAAATTCTTTAGTGTCTTTGAATTTCATGAGCTCATATTGTACATGTTTCCCAAAATAACAGTAAAGAAAGACTGATTATAAAGTGATAATAAACAAATATCATACTTTTATTTCAATTCTATTATGAGTGATTCATATTTGTTTTAAACTACATTTTCTCATTACATAATTAAGGGTGATATTTTTATATTCCTGTAATCGTCTCCACGTATTGAATGGTGATGAAATGTGCGAGTTAAATACTTTCATTCTTTTATTTTTGTATTAAAATGTCAAAGGTGAATGTAAAAATTATTATAGCAAAATAAAAAATAGTAGTTCTGTGTAGTGAGTGAAGCTAAGATTGTAAGTAATTGAGCATAAGTTCTAGTTGCGAATGATTCAACTTAATTAACATAATCATTTTAAGAACTTTATTACTATAGTGTTAATTATGTTCAGTCTTTGTAGTAACGGTCTGTATTTGTAAATGAAAGTGGAATATCTAAAGTAACTTAGTTGTCGCAAAGCTAGGAGATAAATTGCACATGCTTCTTTACGCAATGTATCTTAATAATGTTGAAATTTCAGACTACTTCAACGTGCACTAAAAATACGTAAAATAATTATATTCTATTTTAATCTATATATTATTTGTATGAACATTAAACAACACACTAGAAAGTTTTAACATTAATTATAGTTGCAAATTTATAACATTCATTTCTTTTTTAAATATTTTCATCTCAATTCGTGAAATTGCATGTCATATAGCTTAATGTACAAAGTTAAATTGCATTTAAAGTAGATAATGTGCTAAATTTATTCAAAGTGTTTAAACGAGTCCTAGGTAATTATATTATAGAACATTTTACAGGTCAGAACTGAAGATAGAACATTAGTCAGGCTTCCAGAACTAAATGGACTTAAGTAACATAAAAATTCATTGCTTATATGTAATTCGTATATTTTATTGGTATATGCTTGTTTGCGCATAACTGTGAATCTTTAAATCTAATCAGATTAGTGAACAAATTGATGTCGTTTCCTAAAATCTAAGAATATTTTATTGTACAAAATAAGATATTTTCATTTCCTTTTCTTTAAATTTCTCTACGACCGGACAGTCAAGTGTACTTTGTAAGACAAAAGAAGTTTCTGTATTCTTTTACTATAATAATTTAACACATTTTTATTGTAATGCTTATAATGAAAAATTATGATTAGATTTTTAGTAAATAGAAAAAGAAACTGTAATTTGAAGTTATTAATTATATTGTTATCCATTTAAAATATTTGCTTAGAACTTCTCATATTATTAAAAAGCTTTTCTTTATACTTTCTACATAATAAAATGGAATCATGACTATAGTTGCATTTTAAAGTAAGCAGGCGAAGATCGTCAGATGTAGTTGAATATTTGAAATGACTAGATTTATATAATTATATGGCTGCGCTTAGTGAGATATTAATTTGGTTAATGCTATCATATAATATTGTTATTAATTGGCTTAAAAGTTAATGAATAAAGAAATGAATGGTTATTGTAAACTAATTTTACACTAATGTGAGGGGGCCGTGTGGCCATGGTGGCCTAGAGGTTAACGGCTCGCCTCTAGTGCATGAGGACGCGGGTTCGAAACTTTTAATGTGATTTTTCCAAGCCGTATATACTTCCTAAGATTATTTAGATACCACTCACAGACGGTGAAGGAAAAAATCGTTAGGAAACCTGGACTTATAATTTCAAATTATAAGTTTGAAATCATCAATCAACTGATTTTTGAATAAATCTTCTCCATGTAAGAAGAAGCTTTTGTTCAGCAGTGGGGAGTAATAGGCCGATTATGATGAGGCGACCATACTTATAAGCCTTGACAGCTCTAGATGTAACCTAGCTCAAATAACAGGTATAAATACTCATTGGCATATCGAGTCACGCGTATAATTTGGAATTCAAGTTGTACTTGAAGTTATTTTGACAATATATATAATTAGAATCACAAAACAATATTGATAATTTCAACTATTTGTACATCATTAATTTCGTAGTCGGGATGTTTCATCTTCTAAACGACTTTACCTACATATATAATATACATACATATATAAGGAGTATTATGAGTACAATATTGAAATATGTATGTATATTGATGTTTACTTTATCGCACACCACAAATGAGGCCAAGCAATACAAAAGTTTATTTACGTAAAGGTGTACCGGTCTTATCTCTTTATTGCGATCTCTTCAAGACTCCTTAAATATATTTAAAGGGTTTATCTATTGATGCTGTTATTAGTTT